CAATATGAGAAGAGGTATTTTGCAAAGGATGTAACACATGCTGGTGTTAGTTGCATCAATAGCTTCACAAATATCCTTTCCCGTTTTTTTGCACATCAAATTTTTGTAATTTTTGCAGAGACAAGGTCTTGCTATGTTGCCCAGGCTGGTCTCAAACTCCTGAACTCAAGCAATTCTCCCACCTTGGATTCTCAAAGTGCAAGCATTGTAGGTGTGAGCCACCATGCCCAGCCACATGGCATTTCAAGAAGACAATCACAATCCTTGCTCTATGGTAACAAGAGGCAGCTACGAAATTAACACAGTAGCACAGTATGCACTACTAGTTAATTTTACGTGGTTATGACTTAATATTGTATATTTTATTTTATTTTTTATTTTATTTTTTGAGTTGGAGTCTCACTCTGTTGCCCAGACTGGAGTGCAGTGGCATACTCATGGCCACTCCAGCCTCGACCTGCTGGGCTCCGGTGATCCTTCCACCTTAGCCTTCCAAGTAGCTGGAACTATAGGCGCACGCTACCATGCCCAGTTAATTTTTTATTTATTGTAGAGATGAGGTCTCGCCAAGTTGCCCAGGCGGGTCTCGAATCCACGGGCTTGGGCAATCCACTCACCTCAGACTCCCAAGGTGCGGGATTACAGACTGAGCCACCGAGCCCGGTTTATTTTATTTTATTTTATTTTATTTTTATTTTTTTGAGTTGGAGCCTCGCAGGCGGGTCTCGAACCCGTGGGCCAAGGCAATCCACTCACCTCATCCTCCCAAAGGCGTGGGATTACAGACTGAGCCACCGAGCCCGGCTTATTTTATTTTTTAATAGAGATGGGGTCTTGTTTTGTTGCTCAGGCTGGTCTTGAACTCCTGACTTCAAGTGATCCTGCCACTCTGGTCTCTCAGAGTACTAAGATTACAGATGTGAGCCACCACCGTGTCTAACATTGTATCTTCATGCTTGCTTACATTTCCCTCAACTATAAATGGTGCCATGTGTCTGTGTGATTAAGTTTTTTGGTTGTTTTTTGAGCTGAACTCTCACTCCATTGCCCAGGCTAGAGTGCAGTGCCACACTCACAGTCACCCCAGTGTCGACCTGCTGGGCTCCAGCAATCCTTCTGCCTCAGGCTTCCAAGTAGCCGAAACTACAGGCATGAGCTACCAAGCCCGGCTAATTTTTGATTTTTGATTGTAGAGATGAGGTCTCGCGAAGTTGCTCGGGCCAGTCTCGAACATGCAGGCTCAGGCAATCCACTCACCTGGGTCTCTCAAAGTACTGGGATTACAGGCTGAGTCACCCAGTCCGGTCTGCTTAGGTTTTAATAAATTTTAACTTAATATAATTTATGCATTTTTTATGATAGCAAATATTAAACTAGTATCTACATATATTTTATACATTTATGATATACCTAACTTTTTAATTTTTTCCACATACACAGTTTGTGAGTTTTTACAAATTACTGGAAATCTCCAAAATCTTTTTCTATATATTTATTTTAAAAATCCTCATAGCCGAGCTTGGTGGTTCAGCCTGTAATCCCAGCACTTTGGGAAGCCAAAGCGAATGGATTGCCTGAGTCCACAGGTTAGAAACCAGCTCAGGCAACTTGGCAAGACCTCGTCTCTAAATAAAAAACTAACCAGGTGTGGTAGCACATGCCTATAGTTTTGGCTACCTGGAAGGCTGAGACAGAAGGATTGCCAGAGCCCAGCAGGTCAACGCCGGGGTGACCGTGAGTGTGTCACTGCACTCTGGGTGACAGAGCGAGACTCCAACTCAAAAAAAACAAAAAACAAACCAAAAAAATCTTCATATAAGTGGACCTGAGCAGTTCAAACCTGGGCTGTTCAAGTATCAACTGTATATACTTCCTAAAAAGACCATACAGAACAGGCGCGGAAAGATAGGCACAGCAGTTTTGTGGGCCTCACTCATTCGTGTGTGTGTGTGTGTGTGTGTGTGTGTGTGTGTGTGTGTGTGTGTGTGTGTTACAGCAAATATAAAGCTAAATCTTCTTTTGGGGGGCTGGAGTCTCACTCTGTCACCCAGGCTGGAGTGCAGCAGCACACTCACGACCACCCCAACATCGACCTACTGGGCTCCGGCGATCCTTCTGCCTCAACCTTCCAAGTAGCTGGAACTACAGGTATGCGCTACCACGCCCAGCTCATTTTTTTTTTTTTTTTTAATTTACTGTAGAGACGAGGTCTTGCCAAGTTGCCTGGGTTGGTCTTGAACCCGTGGGCTCAGGCAATCCTCTCGCCTCGGCTTCCCAAAGTGCCGAGATTATAGGCTGACCCACTGAGTCCGGCCAAATCTAAATCTTCCTTCCTTCCTTCCTTCTTCCCTCCTTCCCTTCTTTTGGAGTGTGAGTCTCACTCTGTCATCTAGTTTGGAGGACAGTGGCACACTCCCGGCCACCCCAGCCTCGACCTGCTGGGCTCCGGTGATCCTTCCGCCTCAGCCTTCCAAGTATCTGGAACTACAGGTATGCGCCACCCCGGCTAGCTAATTTTTTGATTTATTGTAGAGATGGGGCTCTCACCAAGTTGCCCAGGCTGGTCTCAAACCCATGGGCTCAGGCAATCCTCTTGCCTTCTCCTCCCAAAGTGCTGAGGTTACAGGCATAAGCCACTGCACCTCAGCTCTTTCTTTCTTTAACTTCTAAAATCCTGTGCCCCAACATGTTACAAAGATCCTACCTCAAACTTTAGGATCCCAAAAGTAAAAGGGAATCTGAACTCCCATGACTTAAAAAAGTGCTATATTCCAAAGGAATCACCAACAAAAAGGATACAAAAAAGGGTTACTAATTATTTAAGAGATCCGCAGGTTGGAATCTCTCTAGTTTCTCTTATAGTATTACTTAAAAAGACAAAGACAAACATTTCATTGACAATTGGTAACTGAAATGCCCAAAAGGTTTCTACCAAACATTCCATTTATTCAAGGAAGAAAAGTCCTTTGAACAAACAATAATTGGAGAACCATTTGAAAAAGCTCTTATACCTGGCATCTCACCTATCAGGAACCTAAAGGTGGAACATTTATTCATCATTCCCATGGCCTGGACATTTTAATAGGTTTAACAAAATACTTCACTATGAAATGCTTTGTTTGTATTTGATTTTGCTTGTCTTATTTTTATTTTTAGGAACAGCAGGAAAATAGGTAACAGTCCTCCCCATCTACTTACATAATTCATTCTCAGGTCTTTGGACTGAAGTTCCTTTTTCTCCATGCATCTCTAAGACCAAGGTGGGGACAGAGGGAAACACAGACAAAGTTGTGCTCACCTAAACAGCTCCTTCCTGCCTCACAGGAGAGCCAGATGCAAGAAAAGTCAACACAGCATGGACTGAGAGTGGGAAAGACACCATGGTGCCTGAGAGGAGCACAATGGAGGCACTGGCTCCAGATGCAACATCTAACAAGAGTTCATTTATGGTTGAACACACATGGGGAGATTGTGAAGGACTGGTGGGGGCAACCTCCTTAAACTCCCCAAAGTGGCTGGGCACAGTAGTGAGAGGATTGCCTGAGCCCAGGGGTTTAAGACCAGCCTGGGCAACATGGCGAGACCTCATCTCTACAATAAATAAAAAATTAAGCTGGGCTCGGTGGCTCAGCCTGTAATCCCGCGCTTTGGGAGGCTGAGGTAAGTGGACTGCCTGAGCCCGCAGGTTCGAGACCCGCCTGGGCAACTTGGCGAGACCTCATCTCTACAATAAATAAAAAAAATCAGCCAGGCATGGTAGCCCGTGCCTGTAGTTCCAGCTACTTGGAAGGCTGAGGCGGAAGGATGGCCGGAGCCCAGCAGGTCGATGCTGGGATGACTGTGAACATGCCACTGCACGCCAGCCTGGGTGACAGAGTGAGACTCCAACTCAAAAAAGAAAAAAACAAATACAAAGAAAAACACTCCAAAGCTTTCTACACCTTTTATTTTTAGAGCTGAGATTTCACTCTGTCTCCCAGGCATGATTATGGCTCACCATAGCCTCAAACTCCTGGGCTCAAGCAATCCTCCCACTTCAGCCTCCCGAGTAGCTGGGACTACAAGAGCGCACCACCACACCCAGCTAGTTTTTTTATCTTTTGTAGAGACAGGGTCTCGCTATGTTGTCCAGGCTGGTCTTAAAACTCCTGGGCTCAAGCAATCCTCTGCCTTGGCCTCCCAAAGAGCTGGGATTATAGGTTTGAGTCACTGCGCCTGGCCTTACACTCTTTTTATTTGTAGCATACACAGTATTTTGACAAAGGATATATTAACCAGCCCCATAATCAATGGCCATCACAAGTTTCTGGCCCAAGTCAAACACAGATGCCCCAGTCAATCCAGAGAGCTGTTTAACAAATGAGCTCCTCGGCATGACTGGAACAGGAAGTATCACCTGACCACAAAGAAACAGCTACCACCAGGATGATGGCAGGTAGTCTAAAGCATGTTGAGCCCACAATCTCAGCATATGGATAAATATATAAATATATCCAAGAGACTACAAACCTGACCAAAAGAAGAAACTACTCCACGTTGCCTGGGAGGAAGTAACTATCAGGCAAAGAAATTCAGAATTCAAGCTCAACACTAATTTCTCCTGTGTATATGATTTAACAGAAAGTATTTCTAGATGGTAAGTTTAATTATGAACAAAAGCTTGCAAGAATTTGTCTAATGGCCCTAGACTGTTTCTTTCTATCTAAAGAGTCTTACTGGCTCAATTCTTCAAAGCTTCTTCGAAAGTTTTGTTCAGGCACTCCTAAATAGGAGAAAAGAGGTTGAGAAGACTTGTAAACGAACACTTACTCTCCCTCCCCCACCATCTTTCCTAGTGGCTGAAACCAGCATCCATACCAACATTCAAATGAATCTAAGAGATTTTTTCCCCCTGTTCATAGTTCCATTCCTTCAAATCCATCCTGTAAAAAAGCCGATTAGCAAAGGTAGAGAAAGACAAAGGGGGAAGGAGGTACTCTTGAAACACCAGCGTCACTTACCTCTGTAGTGCTCCATTCTGGTGTGGTGGGTGATACCCTGTGATCGGAAACTGAGGCTCAGGATGTAGCGAGGATCGGAACTGTCTCGGACCAGGAAAGAACCATCTGGCTTCCCCTTCAGTTTCATCTCTGCATCTTCCCAATTCATTGGCCCCCAATACCAACCACACTACCACAGATAAAAAACAGTCAACTAGTTATCAGAAGACAGAAACATCAACATTTTCAGCACAATCTATCTTACCATGGGAGAACTCTCCATTCTCTAACATATTTCTTTTATTTTTTATTTTTAGTAGGAGTCTCACTCTGTTGCCCAGGCTGGAGTGCAGTGGCACACTCATGGCCACTGCAACCTCGACCTGCTGGGCTCAGGTGATCCTTCAGTCTCGGCCTTCCAAGTAACTGAAACCACAGGTGCGGACCATCCCACTTGGCTAATTTTTTTGATTTATTGTAGAGACGAGGTCTCACCAAGTTGCCCAGGCTGGTCTCAAACCCCTGGACTCAGGCAATCCTCTCGCCTCCGCCTCCCAAAGTGCTGAGATTACAGGAGTGAACCACTGCGCCCCGGCCTCTAAAGCATTTAAATAGGTAAAAGCTGCTGCAAGTTTCTCAACTATTAACAATAAACACCAGGCTTGTTTTACTTTTAGCTCTCCAAAGTAACAGAAGAAAAATTCTAAAATTCCATTACCAAGGGCCCAACCAAGAAAAGAAGAAGAAACTGGGTCAATCTACCAAAATCAGCTTAGACTGTATAAACATTTCTACATAACCTTTATTATGTCCAAATTTTCTTTTTTTTTTCTTTTTTTAAGTCGGAGTCTCACTCTGTTGCACAGGCTGGAGTGCAGTAGCACACTCACAGCCACTGCAGCCTTCACCTGCTGGGCTCAGGCGATCCTTCCACCTCAGCCTTCCAGGTAGCTAGAACTACAGGTGTGTGCCACCAGGTCTGGCTAATTTTTCTTGATTTATTGTAGAGACAAGGTCTTGCCAAGTTACCCAGACTGGTCTTGAACTCCTGGGCTCAGGCAATCCTCTCGCCTCTACCTCCTAAAGTGCTGGGATTACAAGCCTGAGTCACTGCGACCAGCCCAACTTTTCTTTCCCAAATTCAATTGTATTATGTCATAGAAATAGTGACAGCAGCATACTGTTTTGTCACTGTAAATACGGAAGCAAGTAAACTACTCTTCCTCTAAAAACAATAAACGATTGCTCAGGAACAGAAATGGGCTAGTGGAAGGAGCAGTGAGCTGCCAGGCCTCAGGCACTACCTACCTTCTCCAACTCTCGAAGGCTGGCTGCAAAGCTGCTCGAGTCAGGCCGGTAGAGGGGACACTGGAGGTGCTGCGGGGGCTGGCTGTGCAGGGATTCAGCTGCTCGGATGGGAGCAATCCGGGGAAATGCATCTGCAGGGCAAGAGAGTGGCATTCCCTTGCTTACCCTGCTGCTCCCAACCACAAGTAGACCCTCCCCGCAAAACAGAGATGCTAATTGAAGAGGGCCAAGGCATCAGAAGCTAAGCTGGGAAGGGTGGAAGCCAAAGCGGTGGGAAAGAGCTGATGGCTGGAACAAAAAGCTGTGTGGGCTCGTGGAAGCTGTGAAGGATGGGTGGGGGCACTTAACCCCAGGAAAAGGGAGGCAGCTGCTCACTAACCTGACTAGGGTGACTACTTCAGGGGCTTCACCAGCCTACAGCGATTCCAACTTCTCCCACCTCGAAGTGAAGTGCCGATAAAGCAGCCTTGGAAATAGTGACTCGCTTACTTGCCCAGGAAGAGTAAGGATTTTGCCAGGCAAGTAGAAAAGAATGCTGATTTCATTCATTTTATTCCTTGGGTACTGGAAACTGGCAAAGCAGGTATGGGCTACTAAATGCTTGGTACTTATTTACAAGGCTGCAGTAAATACTACAAGCTTAGAAATACCACAGACCCTTGAAAACTAGTCACCTCCTATCCTGAAATTAAGGCAGTTTCTTAGTGATGCCTGCTCAAGGATTGCAAAACAGTCTCAGCAGTAAAGAGATGAAAAAAATTCAAGCCTTTTATCTTTAGCAAAATCAGAATCATCTCCACAAAGGAAACGGGTTAGAAAAACTAGTTCTCAGGCTCATTTCCAAGGAGTCTGGTCTAGCCAGGGGGGAAAGATGTCAACTTTCTCCTGTTATTATTTCCATAAATAGATGTGTCCCGTCCTTCCATGGCACAACGCATCACTTTGCACTCCCAACTTTTACAAGTCTTGCCTCTAAACTAAGCTAACCTGGGGCATGGGGTGGAGGAGGCGGAGGTAGGGGGAAAGACTGCAAGGAAGACCCCATCGGAGCCACAAGGACAGATGCAGGCAGCGTCCCACTGATATCATCTAGAAGAAAACAAAAGCAAGAGGTTCAAAAATGAGCACAGAATGAGCGAGGTAAAGGCAGAAGACAGGGAGACGGACTCTCGGGCTGTCCTCTGGGACGAGATGGCCTGGCCTTCCCCCTGGCTTTTGGCACGGAGGGCAACAATCATCTTAATCTGATTTGCTTTGCTTGGAAAGCAGGAGAGTAAGGATATTCCTACACAGCCCCTTAACAGTCGATTCAAGGCAAGACAAATGTAAATCTAATTACTAGATGAACAGTAACTATGAAGGCACGCAGGTAAGACACCCATTCTCCTGCTTAGGGAGATGATGGGTGCTGAGAAAGGGACAGGAAATAACTGAGTCATCATTAGAAACCAGAAGCTTGGTTGGCTCCTGACAAAGACCAACTTCCTGATGCTTACCCCCCAGCCCCCCAGGGCAAGAAGGCAGAGAGAAGATGATACCTAGGAGGCTGAGGCTTCTTCTTGGAGGAGGAGGGGGAGTTGGAGGGTGCGGAGAGGTCAAGCCCCGCTGAGAAATGTCCACGTCCACAAGCGACACTGTTTCACCTGAGGGAGTTACAGAGCAAGCATGTTACAGAAGCACCTCACCCAAAACTGAGGCCAAAAGCAAAGGGAAGCAAAAAGCAAACCAGTAAGGGTGGAGGTCCAAGGTTCTCAAAAAGTTCAAAACCCAATTGTTTCCCCAGGCTGGAATCACCCCTGATCAAACCAGGGAAGTTAAAATTCTATCATTCCTTTACCCTGTTAGGAGTCAAGGAATCTTTAGGATAAAATCATGAAACTGTCAGTGGAATTCTGGTTCTGCCACTGACTTACGATCTAATCTTGAACAAGGGGTCTTCTTCTTCAAATGGAGCCCACACCATTTATCTTTTCAGACTTGTAGACTGATCTCTGCCATAGGAAGCAAAGCCAGTGGTTTGCTGTATGCCCAAAGAGACATGGAAAGCAAGTGCCAGAAAAATTTAAGGAGCACAAGGTAAGTTGAATGCAGACAAGGGTCTAGTGGGGGCTTTGAGTTCTTTCTGGATGGCCCTCCACACCTAGACTGTACAGAGTAGCCACCCATGAGAGACTCTGCTACTGAAGATATCAGTTCTTTTTTTTTTTTTTTTTTGAGTTGGAGTCTCACTCTGTTGCCCAGACTGGAGTGCAGTGACCTCTTCCGGCCACCGCAGCCTCGACCTGCTGGGCTCCGGCGATCCTTCCGCCTCAGCCTTCCAAGTAGCTGGAACTACAGGCGCACGCTACCACAGCCGGCTAATTTTTTTTTATTTATTGTAGAGAAGAGGTCTCGCCAAGTTGCCCAGGTGGGTCTCGAACCCACAGGCTCAGGCAATTCACTCACCTCGGCCTCCCAAAGCGCGGGATTACAGGCTGAGCCACCGAGCCTGGCCGATATCAGTTCTTAATAGGTGAGGTACAAAGGCTGAAAGTACATTTGTAACCCTAATAATTGGCTACTTTCACAGTCAGCCAAAAGTCAGGTGGTCCTAAGGGAAGCTTCTCAATAGAAACTTGGCAGAAGGTGGCCCATGGCTTCTCCTTTTCCCAGCATACCATGCAGTCTGTTCTCTGCCATACACACCACGACTATCCACCCAATTCTACCCACCTCCTCTCCAGGAATAATTTGCTTTGCTAGGACTGATCCACAGGTCAGACCTCAGAATTTCTCTAATTTAGCCCTTAGGATGTTGCCTCCAATACCTTTTACTTATTCAGAGCTGAATTAGTCTCTCAGCTAATATTTTAATGCTTCCCAGTTAAAATTAGGTGATCGATCTCTCCAAAAGGACAAGAGCTAGATTTCCAGAATCTAAACACACAGTTTTTTACAAAGGCCTTGAACACTAGGTTAAGATAACCAGAAAAGCTCAGCTAAGAGTCGTCAATAGAAGCTCAAGGAAGCCATACTAGACTCACCACATGGCTTAGTAACTGCGTTGCCTAGTAACTGAGAGCCAGGCTGCCCACAACTGCAAGGGGCCCAGACAAGCGTGTTTCCTGACAGGTCAGAGAGGACTCAATTGCAGGTGGAGCATGCACATAAAGGATGCAATTCAAGAGGGCTAACCTTGCCCTGAACCTGAAGCCACAAATGTGGGTGTGCCTTACTTTAAGGAGGAAACAGTGCTCAACTAGAAGGACATGCTACCACAGGGCAAGATTTTAACATTCTGGGCTTGGGTAAGAACAGAAACCCCCTTCTCCACTATAGCAGATATCTACACAGGTGCAACTCACTTGTTCTGACAAGCTCATGGTAGTATATTCAGTTGGTGGGGTCCCACTGGCCTGTTTAACATTTTCCTGGAAGTATCCATCCCCAAATCATAATTCTTCCAATCACCTTTCTGAGGAACACAATATCCAAAGGAGCTGGAGACTGAGATTTTTTCCAAAGGCTTCTCAGTCACAACCAGTGAGGAATAAGTACTCAGTTGCTAAGACCTGGGGCAGTGTGGTCAAGACCAACTTTTCTATAGTATATCCAAGAGGAGCTTCACCGCTGGCTGACATAACAAAAGATATCTCAGAAAAAGTTCTCCATAAAAGGAAAAGGCAGTTACTCGTTACCCAAGGATACTTAACAGCCTTGCTACTTTAGCAACTGTGTTCCCTGATGCAAGAGACAGACTTAAATTAGATACAACGAAGAACTAACAGCTGCAAGAACAGCAATCCCTAAAATGGGTAAGGCAAGAGCTCATATAATCCCCTTTGCCCAAAGTCTTTAAAAATAGGCCAGATAAACCGGGCTCAGTGGCTCAACCTGTAATTCCATGCCTTTGGGAGGCTGAGGTGAGTGGATTGCCTGAGCCCACAGGTTCGAGACCCGCCTGGGCAACTTGGTGAG